ATTATTATTATTATTATTATTATTATTATTATTTTTTCGTATCTTTTTTTTTCTTTTAATTTTTCTTTTTTAAATATATTTTTTAATTTAAAATATTTTAAAAATTTATTCTTTATTTAAAGTTATTATTTCTTAAACAAAAATTTTCTATTTTTCAAATTAAAAATATTTTGAATTTTTTTTGTTGTTTTTTTTAGTACAATAGGTTGGGGAGGAGATTCAAACTCACAACCTGTTGATTGGAGGTCTATGCCAATTACCGCTGAGCTATGCTCGTTTTAATTTTATTTTATTCTTTATTTAAAGCTAATAATTTATATTTTATAGGAAAATAATTTATATTATAAATTATATTTTCTTTAATAAATTATATTGTAAAAGTATATGTTATATATTTTTATATTATATTTATTAAATTTTATTTAACTAAAAATAAAAATAAGCCAATATAAGTTAAGATATATATTATTGGTTAAAAWGTCGTGAGTTTGAATCATCGCACAAATTGTTGTAAGTTAAAATTAGAAACAAAAATCARGAAATAGTTATGAAACGTATGTTTATTTCTATTTCTTTTTCTCAAGAAACAAGAAACACAAATAGTTACCAAACATATTCCCGTTTCTAGTTCTACAAAAATTAGATAAAGAAGCASGAAATAGAAAATAGGAAATGGGAAAAAAGAATGTTACCAAACGGGCAACTGTTTTATTTTTTCTTGAATTTCAAATTACAGAGTTTGCAATTCAATTAAGGTTTTATTTTTATTGTTGAGGGAGAATTTTGGTTAAGGGTCGCCTGGTCTCCGGACGAGCAGTTCAAAGATGAATCCACCTAACCTAAAATCAAAGAACTCGATGCCGGTGTGGTGTCTCACCTAATATACTCCGACGCTCAAGTTAGTAATCAGAGTAAARATAGGAATAAGACACCAGAGAGTTCAGTGACAGGTTTTTCACTTACTTRGTGTGGAGGATCGCCTTTCCTTTTATAGCCCTGAAAGGCCGACCAAAAAGGATGATGGTTGGAAGTGGCAGGGATGTCGCGCGTGGATGGCGCCTACCATTTTTGGTTCCTTTATGGTAGTGGCATAACATTCCCGCGAGGCTCGTTGCTGCCCGTCCAGTGTCCCTATCTCATTAGGGGTGGGAAACTTCATAGTTTGGTGGTAGGT